GACAAAAAACATTCACCAAAAATCACTCATTTTCTTATAGTGATAGATGTATGTGTATAGGAGGGCAGATGAAATCATAGAAAAATATGATGTAATTATGGTTGTCACATAGATTTAGAGATGGAAGGATGTGAAACAAGTAGTAATATGGCACACATCTTTAGGGAGATGACTACAATATAAATTAGGTTGCGGCATTAGATTGAAGGTGGTTATGGTGATGCCATAAGTGGGGTTACAAGTTCTATTTTAAATGAAATGGTTATGACATAAGCAAGATTATTTTGTAGGCCTTGAAGATGAAAAAATGATCATTACATAAGCTAGATTACATTACAAGTTTGAAGGAGATAGTTTTAATGTACGTAAATGAGGTTATAATGCAAGTTTAGATTGAATTTTTGTTATGTCACAAGGGAAGATGTAAAGATCTTGAAGGATTTATCGAAGGATCTAGACTCCTCTAGGATTGAAAAATCCTATTCCTCAGCAATGTCTAATACAGGGATTTTTTAAGCTTAAGGCTCCTCTAAGCTTTGAAAATATTACAACACCTTAATAATGGGATTTCCTTAAGGATCCAAGATCCTTAGTCTTGGAAAATACTATAACCCCTCTATGAGTAATGCCTACAAAATTTTCCTAAATATCCAACCTCCTTTAGGATTGAAGAATCACTACGGGAAAACACGCGATTACCGTCGGATTTTCCGGCAGAATAATTTGCGTCAGTAAATACGGCGTCTGTAACGGCGCATAGTGCGAAGGAAAGTTTACGACATTTTTTCTGGCGCATGTTCCGCTGGAAAAGTTCTGACGTCTAATGCGCCGGTAAAAACGTCGGAATATACCAGTATTTTATTTGTTTCGGTGTACTTTACGGCGAAAAATATCTGGCGTAGTTACCGGCGGATAATACGCCGGCGTTTTTAAACTCAACGACTTAAAACCGGCGCAAAATGCGCCGGAATGTTTTCCGGCGTCTGGGAAGCCGGAAAATCTACTGGCGAAAGCCCTATTTCCTAACCCGAGCCCCTCTGGCTACTCATTTCATTCATTCGTTTCTCTCGCATCTCCGTTATTTCCCTCGTCGCCCACCGTCGCTCATCGTATATCGAGGTCGCTGAGCTTTGTTGACGGTCACCAGACGTAGCTGACGGTGATAGCCTTCCTCGCCGGCGAGAGCTCCATTTCCGACCGTGAGTTTCCACCTTCCACCTCCCGTCAATTGTAAGTTTTTTTTTCGTGTAATTTGTTTGGATTCATGCTGGGTAGATTTATTATGAAAGCCATACATTTTTTGAGAGGTTTGATGGACAAATATAGAGAGAGTAAGGAGGATCTACATATGTACTTTTGTAGATTTAAATAAAGCATATGATAAAGTTTCAAGAGGAGTGCTATTGAGAGTTCTTCCAAAAAGAATAGTTAATAATGCTTATATTCAATGTTTT